TCCACCCTTCCCTAAACTACACCTTCCGACACCGACTCCACATCCCCTCGCAACGCGCTCAATTCCCTGTTCCCAACGCACTTTGCGCCTCTCCCGTCCCGTTTCATCCCCTCTGCCCTGCTCAACACTGCCCATCCCCAACCATCCCGCTCGCAACGCCTCTCGTACTCTGCACCTCCCAACGATCCGCCTCGTCCCACTTCATCCGCCCCGCCCCGCCACACCCAACCCGTGTCCCTATCTCCGCGCCCCGAGCTTACTGTGCGAGATCCCAGCGGGCGTAGCGGTCCCAGCACACGCGCAGCTCGAGGGGATCAGAAAGTGATGGGTGAGCGGGACCACAAGCTGGCAATTGGAGAAGACCTGTACATCAACGTTCCAACGTGCGTTTATGTGGTGCTTTGAAATATCGCAGGTCGAAGAAAAAATTGGCCAAAACAAACAGTGCAAGTAAAATGTCTTTGTATATTATTTTAAAAACTGAATTTAGTGTTCCGAAATTACGTATGAGTAATACGTAACTAAGTAAGTTGTAAATGTATGTGAGAGCGATTCAATGTTCGCGAGTTCGAATTAATTTATCAAATTTTCCTTTTATCATATTTTGAGCGTTCATACTAGCACCAATACAGCGCCCAGCCACTGGGCGTACGGTCTGCCGCCATTGCGTTGGCACCGATGTAGGTGGCTGCGGCCCCGAGCTCGATCCCGCGGCGACGCAGAAGACGGGGGCGGTGCAGCTTTGCGGAGCCTGCGGCGAGGCACGTGGGCGCCGCGCAAACACCGTTAGCCCCCGCGCGTCCCGCCAACGGCCCCTCGGCCCACCGGCGGCGCTCCGGTCACTGCGGGCCAGGTCGCGTATACCGCTGCCGCCCCACTCCTACCACGCTAACCCCAGCCGGCCTGCGCGACCGCAACCCGCGACCGTCTCCGCTGCGTCACTAAGCTCCCTCTGCACGCTTCGCCTTTTTTTTTGCTGCCGCCTCCTCTACCAATGACTACAACAACCTTTCCGCCTCTTCACTTTCCTCAGCGCGCCTTCTCCACTCCTCGGCCCCTCCGCTTTCTATGTTCCCCTCCCTTCTCCGTCCCCTCCCCACCACTCGTCCTCCTTAACCTTTCTCGGCACCCTTCCCCTTCTCCGCACCATACCCTTATGATCTCTCCTCCTCCGCCTTCTCAACCTTCTCCGTCCCCTCGCCGATCCACCCCCTTTTACCGACTTTTCCCTCTTTTCCATCCCTGCCTCTTCTTCTTCGTCCCTGCCTCTTCTTCTTCTTCGTCCCTGCCTCTTCTTCTTCTTCGTCCCTGCCTCTTCCTTTCCTTCGTCCCTGCCTCTTCTTCTTCTTCGTCCTTGCCTCTTCTTCTTCTTCTTCTTCGTCCTTGCCTCTTCTTCTTCTTCTTCTTCTTCTTCGTCCCCGCCTCTTCTTCTTCGTCCTTGCCTCTTCTTCTTCGTCCCTGTCTCTTCTTCTTCTTCGTCCCTGTCTCTTCTTCTTCTTTGTCCCTGTCTCTTCTTCTTCTTTGTCCCTGTCTCTTCTTCTTCTTTGTCCCTGTCTCTTCGTCTTCTTCCTCGTCCCTGTCTCTTTTTCTTCTTCTTCTTCTTCGTCCCTGTCTCTTCTTCTTCTTCTTCTTCGTCCCTGCCTCTTTCCCGTCCCTCCCCCTCGACGGCCTCTTCCACCTCCTTCGCGATTCCTTCTTACGATCTTTCTTATCCTACTCTGTTAGGCCAGTATTCAATATAATATGTCAATTGTAATGACGTCTAAGCATGCATAAACTTAATTATCGGGAAATCAACCGCTAATACGACGGCTTCTTTACAATAATTCCATCTTGGCAAATTTCATTCTTTTAGATATAAAAGAATTCGAAAAGATTTTTGTGTTCCGATTTGATACTTCCTCTACCATTTACTGTATTTACTTGTAAAACCCGCTCTCGAGGCGTTTCTGAAGAGGTAGTGCATTCACAAGCCTTAAATGAATACTTTTCACCCGGAGTTTATGTCGTCACATGAGAAATACGATGCCCTCATTACTTCGCAACGCGGCAGCATCTGCGTCATAATGAAAACGCTGCTTCCTCCTGAAAGGTTTCGAATTTTACGACTCCTCGCGAGATGAGATGAGGTGCGGTGCGGTGCGGTGCGGTGCGGAGGTCCGGAGCCCGAGGAAATGTTGCAAGAAACGAGCGCCCCAAGCAGCATGCTTACAAGCAGATTCTGTGCATTATTCCTCATCAGATTCTCTCGCTGCTGCAGCCCTCGGGTAATAACTCTCCGTTACTCGCGACCTACACCCCTCCCCTGCGCCTGCCCTGCTTCGCCCTCCGAACTCGAGCGTTCCCGCGCGGCACAAAATCCACAATTGCTGAAGCGGCAGCTGTTCCCCTTTGGGTGCCACTGGGTCACGGTTGTAGTCCTCACCACGGTATCCAGTTCCGACTCTTCTCCGATTAAAACAGGACGTCCTTTCAAGGTCTCGAGATGGAAGGACATGGGGACACTGCCATACAATTTCGAACTACGCTACGACGTAAATTTTTAGTTTGGAAGCTCCCGATTGGATGACGGTGTCTCTCTTTCTATTTCGTGACCTTCAAAGTGCTTCGTGTTTTAATCGAAGTATAAAGGCTCATTCACAGTGCAAACAGCATGGCGATAATGAATGGCAATAAGCAAACGCATGGCGTTAACATAAATGTTAGGAGTACGTCCATAAGCGGACTCCTTCACAATGCGTCCGCATAGGCATAACACGTAAGACGTTAACTTAAAAGCTTGCAGGCTTCAAGCTTCTGCGCTTATGCTTAAGAAAGACATAAGAAATGAACCAATCACAGTACGTTAACTCAAAATTGTGTATCGAAACCTCACATCCAACCAATACTAAACTAGATTGTCTCAGAGCCAATAGGAAGTCTTACTTTGCTTACGTTTGTGTTAGACATTGTGAATACTTCAGTATATCACTTAACGTTACGTTAATGTTTACGTCTATTCTTGTGTTTGTACCTGCAATGTGAATGTGCCTTAAGACAAGAGGTACGTATGACGGAAAAGTTTTGGTGCTCAATATCATCAGAAACGCTCCCCCACACACCGTGTCAAGTGTTACTCTCTCCCCCGCAGCATTTCCCTTGCAATTCCTCAACCAGGATGGGTCCGACTTCGAATCAGGTATTTTAGCATTTTAGTTCAAACGCAATCGCAGTTGAAAAAATAGAGGGAATACTTTTGCGCGTGAGTTACGTACGATTACAGTACTGTCATACTCATTGTCATTTTCATATATTTGGTTAGAAGTTATTAGATAAATTATTATCTTTTTTTGTTTTCCTTCACTTGAAGCTAAGGCTTAGAGCCTTGGCTTGATATTCGTATAAATGCAGTATTGTCAGGGTTGAAGTTATATACACAACACCTACAGTAAAGTCGCAAATGACTGTTGATATTTTGTAGAGCTGGCTCGCTACTGAGATTGGTATGTCGAGCACATTTGATAATGGTATCAGCCTCGTGCCCTGTATGTGTTTGTTGGTATCGTGCACATCATTTTATGAATCACGTAGAGATTTACTTACCTTGCTTACTCGCTCTTGTTTGGATTAAGGCTACACTATGTATGAAATTTTAACTGATAATTTTCACCTTTGCACTTCTGCTAGATTCCTCTATTCGCTGCATCTAACGTGGCAACGTTATCTCATCTTTCGGCATCGCGATTATTAGAAGTCGACTCCTTGTTTCTGGCAGTCATAACCACATCCCCTTTAGTTTCCGTTTCCACAACCACCACAAACGCCACCTTCCTTCTCCGTCCTCCCTGCTCATTCCCTTCCCTTCCCTCTCTCTCCTCTTCGCCCTTCCGCCGCCCCTTTCCACCCGCGGAGAGGCCTCTCGCGCGCGGCAGATCGGGTCATGTCGTCCGCGCGTTGTGCCCGAGCATCGAACCGACGGGCCCGCATTGTGCGCGCGCACAAAGGCGGGCGCGCGATAATTACTCGCTAATCAGAGGTTCGCGTCGGATCGCGCCGC